ATTAGAATTGGAGCACGCAATTGATGAGAATGAAGCTAATTATATATGCTTGGCCAGTCGAAAATGTTCAATTTTTTGAAGATTATTCATTATGCACTGATCTTCCGCAGCTAAAATATTAGATTTTGTTATGTAATATCGGAAAATATATTCTACGTGATCGAAACGAATGGATGGGGCGCTAATCGTTCGTATATTTTAATTCACAGTCACTACGTCAGTGACAAGTTCACGTAAACAATCAGTTCATCTCAAAAAGACATGCGATACTCAGTCTTAAAAACTAATTAAATGAAAAAAATTAATTAAATATCAAAATCTAATATTTTAGCTGCGGAAGATCAGTGCATAATGAATAATCTTCAAAAAATTGAACATTTTCGACTAATTGATCGCAAAACATGCCGAAAAATTCTTGGTTCCATCCCAAATGACGCGTTATGCACAAAAGAATTCGTCGACAAAAATACCTGCACTGTTCGTTATATATTTTTGGTATTGAATCGAAAAATCTCAGTGACAAAATTAATATTGAAAACTGTCATAGTGATATAAGTAATATGTCATAGTGATGTAAGTAATATGTCATAGTGATATAAGTAATATGTCATAGTGATATAAGTAATATGTCACAGTAATGTGAGCGATAAGAGTGACAAAAATGCAAATGACGAAAACGCAATGAGCACAGAATGATCGGTCCATTTTCCAAAGTAGTCATTTCAAAGCTTTTTCTGATTCATTTGTTGATTTAGTAATTTTTTTGGGACAAATATAATCCAACTGCCTTCAACCAAAACGACAAAGTGCCATTGACTTGTATAGTACAATTGAGTCACTTTTGACCATAAAAGCACGGCAGTAAGGCTTAAGCTGAATCAGTTATCGGTTCTCACACGTGTAAACACACTTGAGAAACGTGAACTGCAAGCAGAAATGAACAAGCATTTCATAGAAATTAGAAAAGCTTGAAAGCAGAAAGCTTCACGGAAGAAATGACTTTTAACCTACAAAGTAGTTGTGTGTTAATTTGCTAAATAACCTTTCACTACTGATATAACCTGCTGACTTGTGTTGTTTGCTAGGATTTGGCAGCAAAATGTAGTCTCAAAAATTGAAAATAATATTTGTAATGTTAGGAGGCAAAAAACATCACTTTTTCCATTTTGCTGCCAGCACTGTAGTAGTGACCATTTTCAGGGGGACAGTGGATCTGGCTTAATGGGTCGTCTTGCAGATGGACGCTGGCTTCTACTTGGCATTCTTTCATTTGGTTCTCGATGTTCTGCACTACTGCGAGGTCAAGTGGACCCATTAGTTCAAGTGTTCACGGATATCAGCTTGTACAGTGGAGAAATTGACAGATTCACAGACTATCTTCTACCTTGGCAACATGCTTGACCATCTCGTATGATAACATATTTCAGTAAGCGTGTGAGCAGTAATGGCTTCATTTCATTTCTTCTCTCAAATTGGTATTTGATAATATTTCGTCCACTTACTCTAGCAATTTCGATTCTGAAGGATCTCAGAGTGAAAAAGGGTATGAAACAAAAATATTTTTCGCGCAAACGACATCAGATTCCAAGAAAACATAATTGAAGTTGGAAATGAATTAGAATTTCGGCTGAAAAGTATTGCATTAAATAGTGATAATGGTACTGTACTGAATATTGTCTTGAAAATTCAGCAAAATTACATACAAATCCATTAGAATCGAGACAACTTTCAGCAATGATAGCAGTGATAAAAGCAGAAATATACTGTCGAAATTGACACGCTGATCACTGCCATAATAATTTGTGTACTGATAAAAATAAAGAAATATAAAAAGTTGCAGAATTTGCACGCTTGAAGCCCACTTTATCATTGCAATTCAGTAATGCATTCAATTGTCACTTCTCTCTCATAAATGAAAAACTACTTACTGAGTACGAGACGTGAACTTTTGACGTAACAACTAATCAAAGAGCGAAAGACAAATTTCGTGGAAAGTTGAACCTTAGCAGATAATATATCCTTTGAGGTCAAATTCAACTAGATTACTCTTTCAAAATGAATATTAGCAATGCTTTACACTAAATGCAAAG